GCGGGGCGCCGTGGCTGTGGCCGAGGAGCCTCCCTGGGGAGGGGGCCTGCGCCAGGAACACAGACCCCGGCCCCTCTCTGCGGGTGCTGGACTAGCACGGGGCGCGGCCAGGAAGGAGGCGTCTGGAGAGAGGGTGGTGGCCTGTACCGGGCAGGGGAGCAGGGAGGGAGTGGGGTGGGCGACATGGTGAAAACTGTGGAGATAAAAGAAGGACTCGGTGATGAGTTGTGGGGACAGGGGCAGGGAAATGGGGGGCGGGGGTCAGGGAGGATTCCCGGGTCTGGCTCTGGGCGTCTGAGTGGGAAACAGATTAGGGGGATCGGAGCATGTGGCCATAAGGTCACGTAGGACATGGTGCGTGTGTGGGGTCTGGGGACACCCCAGTGGGAGCGACACAGACATGGGGGAGGTCAGGGAGAGAGCCTCCAGCTGATGCTGGGCCCCGCCCATCCCCGTCTCCGCCCACAGAGATGAGGCCCCTGCGCTCAGCCCTGGCCCTGCTGGGGCTCGGGTCGATAGGGGTGGCCTTCACCTGCATCTCCATCTACACGGGGGAGCTCTTCCCCACCGTGCTCAGGTGAGGCTGGGCCTGGGCCCGGGCCCGGGCAGGGGTGCCCTGGGCTGGGAGGGCAGGATGGGTGTTCATGCCTGGTCTCTCTCTTCCATGTGGTCTCAGGCTGACCCCTGTCCCTCCCTGGGCAGAGCAGGGCTGGGCCAGAGGGGGAGGCCAAGGCAGTGGGTGGGCAGCCTGGCCCCTCACAGTGCCCCTGTGCCGGCAGGATGACCGCCGTGGGCCTGGGCCAGATGTCGGCCCGAGGGGGGGCCATCCTGGGGCCCCTGGTCCGGCTGCTGGGTGTGCACCACCCCTCCCTGCCCCTGCTGGTGTACGGGGCGGTGCCGGTGCTGAGCGGCCTGACCGCGCTGCTGCTGCCCGAGACCCAGCACCTCCCGCTGCCCGACACCATCCAGGATGTGCAGAACCAGTGAGTAAACCGGAACCCAGAGCAGGGGGGCCTGGCCCCCACCCCATCCCTGGGCAGAGGAGAAGCAGAGGCCAGAGAGGGATGGATTGGCCGAAAGCACACACACATCTGAGCGAGTGGAGGCCGAGGGCGGGGTCCCCTGATCGACAGTGTGGGTTGTGTACCCTGTTCTTTGTTCTACTGTGTGGGGCCCAAATGGCCCAGCTACCCCAGCTCCACCTCGAGAGAATCAGGGGGAGGGAGCAGAGCCCTATGTGAGGGGGGAGCCGAGGGCAGGACGGCCATTGTTGAGTCTTCACCGGCCCCAGATGCCTTCAGGGCTGTCCCTGCCCATCGCCCTCCCCCATGTGCTCGGGGGGCTCAGTCCAGGCCCTGAGAGCAGCAGGATCTGCTGGATCCTCAGGATGGACCCAGGTCAGAGGTCAGGGGTCACTGCACCTTCAAGACACAACCCGTCCGCATCTTTCCTGAACAGGTCAGGAAAGAAGGCAGCACACGGTGCCCGGGGGCCTGCTGTCCTGAAATCCACGGAGTTTTAGGTTCCTGAGAGCCTGCGAGGGGCCGGGAGGAGCCTGCTGTCCTCCGCTGACAGGAGGAGAGCAAAGGCCTGGATTTCCAGGGGGTCCGGGGACTGCCCCTCCAGCCAGCCCTGCTCTCACCGAGGAGCCGCCTTCAACACAGAAAGGGCAAAGGCTGGTTTGATTGGCAGGAGGCCACTTAACCTTCACTCGCGGGTGCCAAGAGGAGCGAGGCCGGGCCCGGGGGACGGGCCAGCCTGTCGCTCCCAGCTGCCCTCTTGCTGCCCGGGCTCAGCGGGCTCCGAGGGGATCGCCACCCGTGTCAAAGCCTCCCAGCTTCTCACCCAGCCCGAGGGCTCTCAGTGATGGCATCTTGGCAGGAGGAGAGCAAAGGCCTGGATTTCCAGGGGGCCCGGGGGCTGCCCCTCCAGCCAGCCCTGCTCTCACCATCCAACCCCCCCCACACACACACACACACACTCCAGCCACACAGCCAGTCCCGCCTGGCGGCCACGTCTTCTGCCTGGAATCCCCCTGCCACCTTCTCTACAACACCCACAGCCTCCCAGACCCAGGCCAGTGTCCTCATGCCAGGCCCCAGGCCCAGCCCGAGGATCTAATGAAACCCTTACCCACGGCCCCGGCCTGAGAGTTCCCGGGGGGTCGGGGTGTCCCCAGCTCCCACTCAGAGGCGGGCGGAGGGGCACAGGTGGGAGGGAGACGAGAGCGTGAATAAAGGAACAAATGTCTGGCTCTCACCGACTCAGCGATGGGCCCGGGGCTGCTGGGTAGGGGCTCCTGGCTGGGCGGCCCTTGCCCGGGCCCTGAGCGGCTGCCCTCTCCCGCCCCTGCTGTGGGCCAGGCACCAGGCTGGCACTTCAGAGCATCAGCTCATTCCATCTTTTCCTGAAGCCTGCGAGGCAGACTTTGCCGTTTCACAGACGGGAGAACTAAGGCTCAGAAGCAGACTGCCCATCGCTCAGCCAGGAGGGGCCGGATCAGGAGTCAGCCCTGGGCTGCAGGCGTCCAGAGCCCAGCTCAGGCCTCAGGTCCCGCGGCCAGCCCCTCAGCACCAGCGAGGTCCCCGCAGGGTCCCCTGCACCAAGTGGCCTGAGGGGCCTTCCAGGCCGTCACAAGCTCCCGCGGCCCAAGGCCCTGCCCTCTGGGCCACTAGGGAGTGCGCACCCCACGGAGGGAGACGGGTGCCCCCTTGGCAGCAGCCATGGGCCTGCATGACAGCTGGGCGCAGCCCCCTGATGGCAGGCCTTCCCTTGGGCCCCACGGGCTCCGTGTCCACCTACAGGAGGGGACATCCTCCCAGAAGAGCCCCGCACTGGCCAAGCTGGTGTTCCCTCCCTGGGGGCTTGCAGGGCAGGGCTTCCAGGTCCAAGGCTTCAGCCAGACCTCACGGCTAGCTCGCCGCCCCCCCTTCTTATCCCCCCTCAGGCGGACTCTCCTGACACATCCCCAGTACGAACTGCCACCCCCGGGCCAGGCAGACCCCGAGGGCCCAGCTCAGGCCCAGGGGCTAAGTCCAACACCAGGGGCCCAACACCAAGGAGGTGAGCCCACGGGGACCATGCCCTGCAGATGGGTAAACAGAGTCAACGGCAGGTCCGGGAATCTCTCCTCCTACAGCCAGGCCTTTGAGCCCCCCCCCCGTCGGGAGCTCTGCCTCCCTGTGCAGAGGGGCACTCGGCCCGGCCTGCAGTCCTCCGGCTCCTGCAGGGCCCCCTCCGGCCCGGACTCTGACGGGCTGTGCAGGCTGTTCTAGAATTTCTGAAGTAAGGATGCTCCTTCCCTTCTTGACACCCAGGGACACCTGCCTGCCTGTTTCTTCCTTGGCTGGTGGTGGCGGGCGGGGCGCCTGGGGAAGTCTCCGTCCCTTGGACAGAGCAGCGGCGGAGGACCCAGGGCGAGGCCAGCGCCCGCTCGGGGATAGGACAGCCTGGCCAGACTGTCCCAAGCCAGGGCCTCCGCCAGGCGTCCACAAGGGGCTGGAGCTGGCCTTGGGGATACTGACCTCAGGCTCCGACTGAGCAGTGAGGGAAAGGGGGACCAGAGCCTCCCCCTCCTGGAGGGGCTGGTTAGGAGGCCAGGAGAAGACAAGGCCATGGGAACCCACACCCAGGCAACTGGGGGAGGACCCGCTCTCCTACCCTTGATAGGACTCGGGGAGGACTCCAGGACCCGAGGGTACATCCCATGGTGGGAAGGGTCCCAAGACAAAGGCTGCATCCCAGGAGGGCGGGGAGCTGAGCCAAGGGGGTGGGGCTCCAGCAGGGATTGAGCCCAAGGGCCTGGGGGGTGTCCTAGCTGAAACATGGACCAGGTCTGTGAGCTGGAAAATGCGTGAGACGAACTGGGCAGAAGCAGAGCTGAAACAGGATGAATCAGGCAGGGAAGGGTGATGGCGAGCCAAGGGCGCAGGAAGGCAGAGCTGGCAGAGGGCAGGCTCCCCGAGCAGAAGGGGAGGTGCCCTGAGGGGCGGAAGCGTGGCTGAGCCCCCTCTCGTGTTCAGGGGTTGGTTGGCCACCACCACCACCTGCACTCGGCTCTCCTGAGGGTGCCTGACACCCGGCTCACCTGCCACCCCACCTCGCAACCGGTGGGGGGGCTTAACGAACAGACCTGGCGGGAGAGCTGTCGGTCAGAGCATCGCCTTAAAGTGCAAGGATGCGGTTCTACTCCTGGTCCAGGCACAGACAAGAACCAACCAATGGCTGTTTCCCTCTCCCTCTCTACCTTCCTCTCTTTCTAAAACAAAAAAAACCAAGAGCCGTCTCTCGGCTCGTTGGGGCCCGTGGGCCTATTTAGTGTCTTCCGAAGGAGCAAACCCCTAAGGTGTGCTGGGTCCACTTCCTTCTGCAGCCCAGGCGGTGCCCACGGCCAGTCAGAGTGGACCCTGGAGGTTGTGGTGGCCACAGGGCCCTAACCCCTCAGGCTGGGAAGGAGCAGACTTGCAGTCAGGCAGGACCGGGCAGCTCTGGACCCGGCTACTGACTCACCCACCTGGAGACCCTGGACAGGCAGGGATGCTCTCCCCACCCAGGAACAGCACTGCCCGGGGGCTGCGGTGACCCCAGGGGCAACTCCGCGCTCCCGGCCCCGGGGCCTCGTCCCCCTTCGGAGGAGCGGAGGTCCTCCAGGGCTGACCCAACCAGGGCCAGCGACCATCCGGACTGCTTCCTGCCCCGTCAGCTGCGCAGACAAAGACAAATTGCCCCCGAGCCCAACGCCAGGCTCGGGGCCCCAAAGTTTGGGAGCCGCGTAAGGTACCGAGGCTCACGCCCCTGTTTGGGCCCAGCAGCCCCCACCCCGAACAAACGGCACCAGGCCTTCGGATTTGGAAAGTTTTTGTTTTCTTTTCCCACACATTTCCGGGGTTGGGGTGTTTTCCAAGACTTAGACACATTTGTTAACAAAGAGAGAAAAAAACTGGGGGAGCAGGGAGCCCGTGGGCAGACGAGTGACCCCAGCAGTGGGAGGGCACTGCCTCCTCTCTCCCCTGCTGCCGGCGCCCGGCGGGTGCCAGGCTGCTGCTCGGGCATCTGGATATTCGTCTTTAATATAATATCTGCATGTGCCTTCCCTCCCCCCGCCCTGCCGACTCTGGAAACCCGAAGGGGGAAAGGAAGGGAGAAACCAGACACACACAGAAATGGGAAGGAGGATGGGGCCGAGAGACACTGCAAGCCTGGGGGGGAGGGGGGGCTTGGGCGCGAAGGAAGGCGGGAGGGACAGGGAGGAGAAAGAAAAGTTGGGGAAATTAACAGGACAAGGAGTGGACACTTTACAAAACCCCCAGCCTTCCTTCCCGCCCAACCCCACCAAAATAAAACTACCTCTTAAAAAAATAAATGAACCCAGGGCTGTGAGCACCGCCCTGCCCAGGGGCAGCGCTGAGGGACAGCCGCCGGGACTGACGCCGCCCCGACGGACGGACAGACGGACGGACGGACGGCAGGAGGAGAGGGGCGAGCACGGGTTTTCCTTTTCTTTTTTTTTTGCGTTTCCTCTTCATGAGAGAAGTCTGAGGCAGCCAGGGAGCCGCCGCGGCGCCGGAGGCGGAGGTGGGGCGCACGGGCAGGGGCGCTCACACGTAGTACTCCTTGTCCTTGTTCTTCTTGGCCTTGCCGGGCGCCTTGGGCGCGGCGGGCGCCTTCTCCTTCACCACCGCGCCGTTGCTCTGCGCCGAGTTGCTGATGTAGTTGCGGCTCTGGTCCACCTGGTAGGAGCCCTCGTCGCGGTTGCGGTACTTGTACATGGCGTAGAGCAGGATGAGGATGCAGAGCGCCGCGGCCG